CAGGGGATCATCTCTCGAATGGTTTAAGTCGTATCTGAGCAACAGAAGTCAACTTGTGAGGGTGGATACCACGTTGTCTTCTAGCAAGCCAATAGAATGTGGAGTACCACAAGGCTCAGTACTAGGCCCTATTTTGTTTCTTCTTTTATTAACTACATTGCTAACATAAACATCAGTGGCAAAATATGTCTTTTTGCGGACGACACTAGCTTCACTTGGAGCAACAAGGACATCGCGGCACTTCATAGGATTATATCAAATGACTTAATCACCATTAAATCTTGGTGCGATTCGAACCTCCTGAGTCTCAACATTTCTAAAAACTAAGGCTTTGTCGTATAAAAACTCGTTGCAGCCTTTTGTACTTGACAACACCACCATTGACGTCGTAAAATCCGTAAAATTCTTAGGGCTTGTTGTGGACAATTCTCTGAAATGGGACATACATATCGAAGCTTTGTCGAAAAAAATTGAGCTCTGCCTGTTTTGCATTAAGGTCTGTTTCTAAGGAGCTTAACTTGTCATTGGCTAGAACTGTTTATTATGCACTTTTGAGTCGCACCTCAGGTATGCCCTTCCATTCTGGGGTACGTGTTGTGCGGCTCAATTTGACTGCATTTTCAAGCTCCAGAAGAGAGCTGTTCGATATTCACTGGGACTAAACAGCAGAACTCATTGCCGGGGCTTTTTAGAGAATTAAAAATATTGACTCTTCCTTCCTTATTTATATTTGAATCCGTTTGCCTAATACGTAAACATGTATCAGCTTCTCAAGAAAGGCCATCTCACACTTATCCACTCAGGAACGCGGAGCAAGATCTTTATCTACCTACCCCACGCTCAGAGTTAGTTAAAAGTTCAATATTATACAACTCGAAAAAATGCACAATCACCTGCCATTTGAAATCAAATCCATAACATCATTTTTTTTCATTTCGCAAAGCATTGAACTCTTATTTACTAGACAAGGCTTTCTACGCCGTAAATGAATTATATTTGAATTGAAAATCGAATTTGATCTTGAAAACACTGGTCTAATGTTTGCTATTGCTATATTTACTAATGACATCGAAATTAATTTATTTAGAGGTCATTGATATTTTGCTATAAACTGGCTAAATATTTTTGAATATTATTTTAATTTTTTTTGTTCTTTGACATTATAAACATTTATATATGTTTATTTTAACAATAAGACTGACAATATTAATTGTATAATGTTTTGTTTTATCTTTTGTTTGTTTGTTTGTGTACCTTGTTATTTTTTACTTTGTTTGTTAGTTTACCTTTGTCCACAAATTGAAAAATTTTTTGACAATAAAGGCATTTATTTATTTATTATTTATTTATTTAATAAATGCCGCTTGTTTTACGGCCATCGACTGTTTTATTACTGCAAGTGAAGAAGTGATATCACGTGCCGACGATATATTTCCAACCCTGTGGCACAAAGAAAGGCCAAAATAGATTTTTGATGTCTTATATCGCGTTGTCTTGCAGGGGACACGTATTTACCACATAGAAATACTCGTTCAATATATCCAATTACAGTGTTATCGAGTTAAAAACTTTTAAGTTACCTTTTAAACATTAGAAATAATATTTAAAATTTGAATAAAAATATAAAACCAAATATTAAATTACTTAATTATAATACAAATTAAATAAATTATTAAAGTGAAACAGTGAAACTATGAGGAGATAAAATAATATCCGTAGGGCTTATTTTTTTTCTGCAAAATGTAAGAAGCGTAGCATTATGATGGCAAATAATTTTTTAATAAAACCCAAAAGCCGGTAGGTATTTTGGGTTTCTTGGACTATGCTGCTAAGTAAACATTAATATTCAGCGAACAAAAGGGTGGTTTATTACAAAGGGTCGAATTCTGATGGATAAGGAATTAGAGGAATAAAATATCTTAAGAGGGTAGAATTGCGTTTCAAGCAAAACATGTCTTGATTAGTGAATTAGTTCCGGGGACTGAAATAGCATAATTGCTTTTATTATTTACTTCTAATACATATTAATTATTTATTATTATTCAGCCTGTACAAAAATAAATAAATATTTTCATTAAATTAATTTCAAACAAAGTCGTTTAAAATATATACGAAGAGCCTTAGGTCAAGAAGGTGACCAAAATGCTCCTTTAAACATCAAAAGTTTTCATTTGTCCTTTCTTGATTAGTTAGTAGCCCTGCCCCAAGTTTGTTTCCTCTGGAGACCTATATACTCAGAACCTACTGCCTCACTGAGAATGAAAATTTAATTAGAAAATCAATCAAAATGTTCCAACTTAGTTTTTTTATAGATATTATAAATTCAAATGGTGGAAATGATGATAGATAATAAGGATGAGATCTGAAAACGTCAGTAGCTCCAAGAGAAGAGTTCTCATGAAACCAGGATAAATTTGATAACTCCGATTCTTCCAAAAGCTTCTTTTGCTAGTCAAAGATAAACATATATCTCGCCTTCTTGCTGTTTCTGCAAATCCACTTGTTTGAAATGATGATACATGATGAGGTGAGATCCGAGAATGTCTGTAGATCCAAGAGGAGAGTTCTAAAAATAAATTTTAAAACTCCAGTTCTGCTTAAAGTTTGTCAAAGAGATGTATCCCGCTTTCTTGCTATTTCTGCAAAGCCAGCTCTTGGAAATGATAAGGGTCGGATCTGAAAAGGTCAGTGGATCCAAGAGGAGAGTCCTAAAAATAAATTTTACAATTCCAGTACTTCTGAAAGCCTGTCAAAGAGATGTATCCCGCTTTCTTGCTATTTTTACAAAGCGAGCTGTTGGAAATGATGATAATTGATGAGGGTGGGATCTGAAAAGATCAGTAGGTCCAAGAGAAGAGTTCTAAAAATAAATTTTACAACTCCAGTTCTTCTGAGAGCCTGTCAAAGAGATTTATCTCGCTTTCTTGCTATTTTTGCAAAGCTAGCTGATGGAAATGATGATAGATGATGAGAGTGGAATCAGAAAAAGTCAGTGGATTCAAGAAGAGAGTCCTAGAAATAAATTTTCAACTCCAGTTCTTCTGAAAACCTGTCAAAGAGATTTATCTCGCTTTCTTGCTATTTCTGCAAAGCGAGCTGTTGGAGATGATGATAATTGATGAGGATGGGATCTGAAAAGGTCAGTAGGTCCAAGAAAAGAGTTTTAAAGATAAATTTTACAACTCCAGTTCTTCTGAGAGCCTGTCAAAGAGATTTATCTCGCTTTCTTGCTATTTCTGCAAATCCAGCTGTTGGAAATGACGATAAATGATGAGGGTTGTATCTGAAAAGGTCAGTAGGTCCAAGAGAAGAGTTCTAAAAATAAATTTTACAACTCCAGTTCTTCTGAGGGCCTGTCAAAGAGATTTATCCGGCTTTCTTGCTATTTCTGCAAATCCAGTTGTTGGAAATGATGAGGGTTGTATCTGAAAAAGTCAGTAGGTCCAAGAAATGAGTTCTAAAAATAAATTTTACAACTTCAGTTCTTATGAAAGCCTGTCAAAGAGATGTATTGTAGTATAGAGATTTCTGCAAATCCAGCTGTTGGAAATGATAAGGGTCGGATCTGAAAAGGTCAGTGGATCCAAGAGGAGAGTCCAAAAAATAAATTTTACAACTCCAGTTCTTCTGAAAGCCTGTCAAAGAGATTTATCTCGCTTTCTTGCTATTTCTGCAAAGCCAGCTGTTGGAAATAATGATAAATGATGAGGATGGGCACTGAAAAGGTCAGTAGATCCAAGAAAAGAGTTCTAAAGGTAAATTTTACAACTCCAGTTCTTCTGAGAGCCTGTCAAAGAGATTTATATCGCTTTCTTGCTATTTCTGCAAAGCCAGCTGTTGGAAATGATAATAAATGATGAGAGTGGGATCTGAAAAAGTCAGTGGATCCAAGAGGAGAGTCCTAAAAACAAATTTTATAACTACAGTTCTTCTGAAAGCCTGTCAAAGAGATGTATCCCGCTTTCTTTCTATTTCTGCAAAGCCATCTGTTGGAAATAATGATAAATGATGAGGGTGGGATCTGAAAAGGTCAGTAGGTCCAAGAGAAGAATCCTAAAAATAAATTTTACAACTCCAATTCTTCTGAAAGTCTGTCAAAGTGATGTATCCCGCTTTCTTGCTATTTATGCAAAGCCGCCTGTTGGAAATAATGATAAATGATGAGGGTGGGATCTGAAAAGGTCAGTAGGTCTAAGAAAAGAGTTCCAACGAAAGCCTGCCAAAGAGATGTATCCGGATTTCTTGTTATCTCTGCCAAGCCAGTTGTTAGAAATGATGATAAATGATGAAGGTGGGATCTGAAAAGGTCAATAGTTCCAAGAGAAGAGTTCCAAAAATAAATTTTACAACTCCAATTCTTCTGAAAGCATGCCAAAGAGATGTATCCCGCTTTCTTGCTATTTCTGCAAAACCAGCTGTTGGAAATGATAATAGATGATAAGAGTGGGATCTGAAAAGGGCAGTAGGTCCAAGAGAAGAGTTCTAAAATAAATTTTACAACTCCAATTCTTCTGAAAGCATGTCAAAGAGATGTATCCCGCTTTCTTGCTATTTATGCAAAACCAGCTGTTGGAAATGATAATAGTGGGATCTGAAAAGGGCAGTAGGTCCAAGAGGAAAGTTCTAAAAATAAATTTTGAAACTACAGTTCTTCTTGAAGCTTGTCAAAGAGTTTCAACCCGTTTTCTTGCTATTTCTGCCATCGCAGCTGTTGTAAATGATGATAGATGATGAGGGTTAGATCTGAAAAGGTCAGTAGGCCCGAAAGGAGAGGTTCTCCGGAAGGGCAAGCCAGATCGCTCCTAATACAATAGTGAGAAATGATAGGGGTCTCCTGAGGAATTGCCGGAATGGTGTAATTGAGGTTGGCCGCGTACAGGACCAGCCGCTCAGCCGGTAATTAATGAGCGGCGAATGCGTGAGGGCGCGCGCTCACCCTTCTCTCCTCTTCACTGGCATCGGCTGGAAAGTTTGCTTTCCGGGGGTAAGTGCAGCGCTTCTTCTACTGCCACCGTCGGGCGCGACTCCTGCACGCTCCTGCTCCGTCGTGGAAAACGGTCGCGTCCTGCTGCCATTCGCGATCCGGCCTGCTCTCGCGACGGATCCCCAGCCGTCGCGCTTTCCCCCCCTCGGAAAACATCGCTCACGGTGTTTGTTTCCAGTGTTGTTATGTGTCGGCTTGATGCACTCCAACTCTCTATTTCCCCGGGACGGTCCTCTTCTGTAAACACTTGCTTTCAGGTAAATGCTTTATTTCTATTTCCTTTCCCGTTTCCGATTTATTTACTCTTAGTTCTCTTCGCAGTGTGAGATTTCCCCCCACGCTTCCACTCCGTCTATTATTATTTTCTTCTGGATTTGGAAGTTTTAAATGTTCAGAAAAGACATGTCTGAAAAATTTGTTTGCAGGGACAGGCATTAGAACTTCTTTTAAACAATTTTACTCAAATTCTAACAGAAAAAAATTATATATATTTTTATTTTAAATCTTTACGCAAATATTAAAATTCTAGATAATAAATATTATTATCTAAAATTTTGGTTAATTCATTATAAGTATTAATAAATAATGTTTTATATAGTGATATACATTAATATTTAAACACAAAAATAAATAATATCAACTCTAACAATGACACAAAAGAAATAAAATTCCAACTAATTCGAATTATTGAAACTGTTAAAATCATACAATTATTGATGGAATCTAATTTTGTTGAGCGGAAATATTTCCAATGAGGTTTGGGTAAAATCGGTTAACTAGATATTTAGAGATGAATTTCGATATAAATGAAAGAAATATAATAAAAAGCTTCGTATAAAATATATCCCTATAAAAATCTCGCAGCTTTATAAAAATTGAGATTTATATATTCAAATTTATTGAAGATTCGTATTTATTTTACACACCACTAAAAACAAAATAGAAATAACATCATATATTTTTAAGTATAAAAGAATATTTTTTTAAAATAAAAGTACATATTACAATTTTGAAAAAGAAAAGGAAAAATATTAAAATTATCTAGAATTTAGGATAAATAAAGAAACTGCTGGCATCGAAAGGAATAAAAAAACTTTTATAATTACTGAGTTTAATGGAAAAAATATCAACAACTTTGAATAACCGAATTAAAAAGTTATAATTACCTTTTATAACGGCGTTAAATATTGAGCATAATGTAGGAAGTTAAAATGAATAAAACTCACATGTGTAGCACTTTATATATACTATATTTACATATTTATGTACAGGGACTTCATCGAGGTTGATACGAATAATAAGAATTTTTTCAGAAGTTAGCTGAAACTGCTATTAAAAACTGCAAAACTAAATATTGCGGAAGTCTACTCCCAATTTGAAATATTTCAAGAATTATAATCTGTACCTAAAACCCAGAAACTTTTTATAATTACCTACCCAAAAGGAAACTTTCCTCTCTTTTATTTGTATTATAAAGAAACAGTAAACTTTGATTTCTCTCAAATAAGGATTACTTAAGTTTCAATCTTTTCCAGATTAAATAGCGAATAAGAAAAAACTTATTTTAAGAAAAAACTATACAGTTTTACAACTAAGTTGTGTTTTTACTGAGTTTTACATTTTTCAAAAATCCTATTTTTGATATTTCAATTTTGCCGAAAATCACTTGTTAAATTCAAGTGCTTTTTAATAACAGAAACTGAAAATAATCTCCCCTTCTCTTTCAATTTCCTGTTCTTTTTGAAACTTTCTTTATAAATTACTTATATCGATTGTCTTAAACCCCTTGAAAAGGCTTACTTTCTCCGCCTACCGTATAATTATTAGACTGATTATTATAAAAGAATCTTTTTGCTAAATTTATTTGGCTCTAATTTAAAATGAACGACTTTAATAATAAGAAATAAAATATTATTCCTCCGTTGTTAAAACTTCAAACTTTCACTATAAATCACGAGAAATTTGACTCCATTATAATTTTCTAATAACCGTTTTGTTCTTTATAAATGAATAACATTTCTGACTGTTCAATTAACTAAACAAGAAATATTTTAAATTTACCCTTAAATAGTTCTGCTTTTTATCGGAGTAATAAATGTTTCCATCGAAATAACCAAACAAATGTAAAGGATATTTGTCTGGGGAATTGTGGTTAAAAATAGACAATGATAGTTGTTTAATTTTAGATAAAATATATTTAGAAATTTTACTGGGAAACTAAAGACAATTGTTAAGGTTTGCACATCCTCTTGCAATTATCATGAGTGTCTCTAGATTTAGACAGGATATTTATAAATTTAGAATATTTGTTTATATGTATATCAGAGTGTGCTCTAGCATAATTTTTAAGAAAAGAAAGTTAATTATCCCCCCAGCAACAATTTATTAGCTGAAAGGTAGATAATAATGACATTTGTGGGGAGAGGATTGTGCAGGGAGTATTGGGTGTAATTGCTAATATGTCTTCCAAAACTCTGTGCTGAGGACATCGAGAAACTTCAAATCAATAAATCCGTACTTGTCAAGTACTAATTAGAAGAGCCCTGTGCCTCATCACTACTATATTTTTCGTAATCACGTAGGAAGTACGGGCGAGCTGATAAAATTACATTTGAATTTTAAATATGGCTTTTTATCCACGGCCCTAACCTAATTGCGCAAGCTTACTTTAAAACAAACATAAATCGTTAACCAGCCAAACTAGCTAATTAACTAATGTTTTATCGAGTTTATGGAATTTGCATCTAGTTAACGGATATGCCTTTAATTTGATTCTTTCATGCTTCCCGATTTTTAGAAAGAAAGTTATAATTTTTTGACAGAATGTTACGGACAAGGGGATGTATGGGGGGTTGCAGTTATCCGTAACATAGACATCTCTTATTAAAATATTGTTTCATTAAGGCCGCAAGATTTTAATCAACCGAAATCAGCCTGTCTTATAAATCCCTATTTCGGATAATTAATTATACCAGGAGTTGCGAAACTTTCTCGAACCATCGTACAATTTGTACAAAGAAATTTGAAAAAGAGGGAGTGGTAGATTAGATTAAACACGATTTTCCCGCGAGGTTTTAAAGCTTATTTAAATTATGTGCATCGTTATTAGAACTTGCTGCGTTTAAATCACTGGATTAATATTTGTTTGTATTTATTAACTAAAATAACTAGAAAAATCCCTTTTAATATAGAATTTACGTGGGGTAGTGTATATTTTATTTAATATTTAACAAAGTCTATTAAGGTCTTTTATGAATATTTTATAATCGAATAAAAAGGTAAATGCTATAAATGACATAGCTTTTTAGTCAGTATGCTTTTTTTATTCTGGAGAAAATTCGATGAATTTAAAGCAGGCAATAATTTTAATTCTAGCTTATGTTTATAAATAAATATAATGGAAACTAGGTATATGATAAAAAATATAATTACAAAATTACTGAAATGTAGGCTAGAAATTGTAAATATTTTAAGATAAAAAAGAAATTGATATTCAAAATTACACATTTTACCCTCAATTTTGAGTGGATACATACATATATATGGGATTCTATCTAGACAAGAAAGATTATATAAATTGTCTAAACTGGGAAAAGAATGAAATTTTCTCGGTTTTACTATTTGCTAGTAGATGTAAATAAGAGGGGGTCCTTGTTCTGTTGAGCACGGTATATTTGCGAACGCTTAGATAACAAGTACAACAGAAAATGTATGTTTTAAGCATGTTTTTAAGGGAACTCAACGGAAAATGCAGACTAAAGTGTTGCATCGCCACGATTTAATGCCTTTTGTGTGAAATAATGAACACAAAATATCCTGAGACGTAAAGCTAGCGTGTAAAAATGTCTGAAACTATATCTATTGGGAACATTTACGCTTTGACAGAAACTAATATCCCTTTTACACCTAATCGGACTGAAATATATTTCCCTCAATACGTTTAAAAGGCTTTTCAGTAAACCGATATTTTAGTTGGCCATTGCTAAATTGTCATTTTCCTCTGCTAGTTAGAAAAAATGGAAACTATTAATTTCAGTTTATCACAATTGATAGCAAAAATCAAAATACTGATAATCGTATTACTAATATTTCACTAAATAATATATTGAAATTATATAAAAGATTTTCTTCCATACATATGGTCGTGAAAATTCACCGTTTTTGTTAAAACTGCTTTCATCTACTAATTAAAAGGTGTAGAATAAGAAAATATAAGCCATTGTAGTCTTACAACAGTAATAAATATAGAAGACGTTTTAACCTTTATCAAAAATAGCCAAAAAACCAGGGTCCAAAAAATTAATTTTCTCACAAAACCAAGATACCTACCGAAACTTTTAAAGGTGTATATATTCTGAATCTACATAAAATTTCCTACAAATGCTATAATATTTCTAATTTTATGACTATGTATAGTATGTTTCTGTGAATATGAGTAAAAAATAACCCAAAAATAGGCATTTTTTGGACTTCTTTCCATACATATATCGTGCAAATTGCCGATTTTCGTCATGACACCGATTTTATCAAAACTGCTCTCATTTACTAATTAAAAGGTGTAGAATAAGAAAATATAAGCCACTGTAGTCTTACAACAGTAATAGATATAGAAGACCTTTTAACCTTCATCAAAAATAGCCAGAATAAAAAGGTCCAAAAAATTAATTTTCTCAGAAAACCAAGACATCTAAACCTTTAAAGCTGTATATATTCTGAATCTATATAAAATTTTATAGAAATGCTGAAATCTTCATAATTTTATGGGTATGACTACTGCCTTTCTCAGGCCTTTGAAAATCTGTAAAATATACCCAAAAATAGTTAAACCGATATTTTAGTTAGCTATTGCTAAATTGGGCTATTAATTTCAGTTTATCTGAATTTGATAGCAAAATAAAAATACTGATGACTATAATTAAGTATATAAAAATAAATTAGAGTGCCATAAATATTTTTTCAGGAAGTTCATATTTTAGTTAGTTAAAGTTAAATTGTCGTTTTCCTGTAGCTAGCGCTAGTTATAAGTCCGCTCAAGTTTTTCCATAACATAAATTTTCCACCAATGATTGTTGCATAAATTCCAATTGGTGTACAACTTTTGTTTGCATGTCGATATATTCGCAAAAAAGCAAAACGGTTTTTCCTGTTTTATCAGAATCTGACATAGTTTGTGCACTTTTTTAAATTTCACATTTGCGAGCTAACCAAACATCAATTTAAAACAAAAATCCAATAAACATAAAATAAAAAAAAAACG